TTTGGACAATATTCTCATGCACATGGTGTGATTCTTGGGGATAGTCCTGTGCAGGGCCAGGAGTTGTACTCATATTCTCTGATTCTGTAATAATGTAAAAATGTGTGTTTCGTATTTGTTATTTTACATAATTTGAATTCCAACTCATATAATGAAATGTATCTAGAAGACAATATACTCTAAAATACCTTAAAAAAAGTTAAGTCCATTTAAACCAAACTTAACATTTTTTTGTCTTTCTTATTTCTTTAGGACTTTCGAACAGTGGCGCCATCTATTTTTCTCTTTGAAAAGTTTGGAAAAACTTACTCCCGCGCTGGGCAAATAGTGTAGTTGTCCTGGAAACTACGCAAGACACCTGAAAAGTAATCAATAAATGTATTTCAGCAAATGCACAGAAGCGTGTTGACTGAATGTCCCATAAAGAGTCTTCCTGTCATGTATACTATGTCTGAAGTAACGTTAATTGAAATTGCTTGATTGTTAAGCAATATGGCTTCCAGGATTTATAAAAAAAAATTTTTTTGTGTTTTAAAAAAAAAATTAGCTTAAGAAAATGATTTCTGAAAATGCTATATTTTATTTAATATAAATAATTTAGGATAGAAAACCAGAGTCATCAAGTAAAATACTTGGAATCACATGTATTTATTACAGATTTGTAAATGAGTTTAAAAAAAGAAGAAAGTTTAAAATTTACATCTGTTTTTTTCCTCACAACTATAAACGTATCTGCTTCATCACTGTTGTTCATCATTTTCAGTTTTGTTAGGCATCCTTTTGGCTACAGATTCGTGCCTTCAGAAGTACAGGATAGACATTTACATGGAAGATACTGTTTTAAATCCTTTTAGCACTTTTGTGAGTGATAGAACTTTAGTGTTGAAAAAACAAAGTTCTGACAACATCTGTGCCTTATTATTAGATCAGTTTTTCTATATCTGCTTAATTTTCTTTATCACTTACTCCTAGTCCTGTGTTAAGTGAGGCCATAATCATGTGATGCTTGGCAAGAAGAACACATTTGATGACACAAAAACGGTACTTGTTTGCTCTGTTCACTAGCAAGCAATCCTGCAAAATAGCAAGTATCCTCAGAGCCCATCCACTTCAAAAGACTCAAGGAATTCAACATCATGAGAAGACCTCAGCATATCTAAAGGGCAAATCATAAGCTAATTCTTAAAATTATGTGAGTGAATTTTACAGGAGTTTTATGCTGAATTCTCTGTGATAACATATTTGCTTTTCATATCATTTGACTATATTTGAATCAAATATATCTGTTTATCTGTGGCTCATGGTAGGCTTTTTATTACTGAATTTTGTTATGTGATTCTTCTGTGCCCTACAACTGTGCAGAAAACCTTGAAGAGATGTCTGTTTTTGTGAATGCTTTCTGAACTGGGTCTAGTGAAAGGTGTCCCTGCCCATGGCTGGGGGCTTGGAAACAGACGAACTTAGGCTTCCTCCCAGCCCAAACCATTCTATGATTCTATGAAGTAGGAGTTACAAATTTCCCTTCCATAGGTTTTCAGCTATCAGGCTGTGAAAAAGTTTTCCTGCTATCACACACCACAGTAAAAGCCCTTTCAATTCCATTCCAGTACCTTGGGAGTGCAGGCGCTGGACTGTACTGGTGCTACTTTTTGAAGTTTGTTATTTTCAAGCTTTAAAAAGTTTATTCTGCATGGCAATGAGAATTAACTCTGGGAAGCAGAAAGCAGCCACCTCAGTGGCTGATAAGATTTAATCTGATCCAATGTATCAGAGTGCTTTAGTTGTTCCTGGAAGGGATTGAACATGAGACATTTGTGCAAAACTGTTGATGAATAAAGATGGCACAGTAATTTTTATATGTGAGAGCTATCTATTTGATTGCTTCAGCTTTAAGGTAGTTCATCACAGTAATTCACCCTGTGTTGCCTCTTTAACTTCATACCACAGTTTCCCATCAGTCCGATTAGAAATGGCAATGCCTTTATCAGATTAATCTTTCTTTCTCTTTCTTCCTTTCAGTATCTCTGACCCCAGAACAAAACAAAACCTACCTTGCAGCCTGTACTGCACTGGCAGAAGTGCTCATAGCTGAGGGTCCAGAGCACAAATGGAGGTTAAAACCAACACTTCTAATTGTAATTGTTTGATACATACACACCTTTCCTCCTCTTACCAAAAAAACCCAGACTTTTCTGTTTCTAAGCAGATAGCTGCTTGCCAGAAACCTTCTAACACAAAACCAGGTCTGATTATTTTATTGGATAAATAAACATCTACAAAATTAATAGAGTAGCAAATATATTACCTGTGAGGTTTGGGATTTGGGCTTCTTTTGCCAATTGTATGTCATAGGGAATCCAATTCTTACCTTTATCTGGAGTTCAAACAGAATTTATGTCATTCATGATCATGTAGCATCCAAACAATTTTGTGTGGCCACACTAAAATCCAAGAATTCTTTTATTTCTCATTAAGTGCGTGCAGCACTTATTCAGTACATTTGCACTAACCATTTAATAATTATTCTAGAGGGACCTTTACCAACTCTTTCATTATGTAGAGACTTTTTATTATTTTTATTGCTCTCATAAATAGCATATAAACACATGAAAAGGGCTGACAGAGAAGTAGCTTGAATATGTTTTTAAATATAAAAGCATATTCATCTCAGAAACCTTAGCTGGATTTTGACTTCTTTAGTTTTAACTCCCAACCAAATGCTGCTAAATCCAGGAACCTTTGTGAGTTTGGACTAGAGAACCTGCCTCTACATTTTTTTCTGTATGTGGTGAGGCTGATGGAGAAAACTCCCAATATTAAAAGGAAAAGCTAGGAATAATTTAAGAACCTAGTCTTGGGAAATCTGCAGCATGTTGGACTCTTTTGATCACAAAAGCAGCTCAGAATTAATTATGTTATAGCACAGAACACACCAGTAGTTTTTTGTTAAGCAGAGGAATTGAGCATCATGCACAATTCAAAAAGTAGTTTGAAAGTGAATGTTAGCAACTCTGTAGTGTATAGGAAAGGAAATAAAAGATACATTTTAGTCCTAGGATAGACCTAATTTCTGTAACCCGGGAATAGACTCCCACTTCCATTTGGTAACTTTCTGTGGCAAGCAAGTGAATGTATCTGTCTGGCAAAGAACATTTTGCTTTGCTGCTTTGCTTAAATCAAAATGTTTGCGTGTAGCAAACTTACAGTTTTTATCTAAAGCCATTTAAAGCTAAAATTTTGATATTTTAATTAACTACAATAATATAGTGAACAAAAATTTTGATGATGTCATTACATAACCAGCTGTCTATCAGTATAAACAATGATTGTGTTCAACTTTCTTATTGATATAGTTTACCATATCAGTTTTAATTCCAAAATTTTTGTTCAGGAAGCCTAGCCATGATGTTCAGTTTTAATTATCAAATTGCTTTTTCTAATATTTGACTAATGTGTTTTTAATATTTTATTTACTCTAGGTTTTCCTCATCAACAAGATTGTTGTTTTTATAACATTGTAATACCAAATTATGTGTACTTCAGAGAAGATTTTTCTGTTTTATAGGAGATGTTAAAGTCCATTCGCACACAACAAAATCTTAACATGCAGAATGGGTATAGATAGAGGCACCAGGAAATGAGTACTCTGAAAATTTGTGGGGGATTCCTGGATCTTGGTGAGTCTACAAGACATGTAGCCTCTTGGACATTTAGGAAAATTGTCACAGCAGTATCTGAAAATCAAAAAGAATCACTGTGATGGTAGGGAAATAGACAAATGTAAGAAACTCCATATTCATCGTGGCTAGGCTTCGCGAACGAAGATTTGGGAAAGGTCTCTACCCACATTTGCTACAAGCACGCTGGTGGCTAAAAAGGCCAATATGAGACAGGCATGTCCTGTTGCAAAAGGCACAGCAGGAAGACTCCTTAGGTGGTAAATTCTGCAGGGTACGATTCTTTCTGCGTTGTCTTTTCTCCTCAAGAGTGATCCTGCGTGCGTTCTCAAAGGAAGCAGCAGCATTACAGATAGTGTGTCTCCAGACCTCCCGATTGGAGGCCAGAGTAGACCAGTTATGTTGATCAATATGGCCAAGGCTGAGATGTTGTTTCAGGGAGTCCTTGTATCTTCTCTTCGGGGCTCCTCTCATGCGGCAGCCGGTGGCAAGTTCACCATAAAGCAGGATCTTAGGGAGGCGGTGGTCCTTCATCCTGGAGACGTGCCCTGCCCAACGCAGCTGTGTTCTCAGCAACATGGCCTCAATACTTGTGACTGTTGCTTGTTCTAGAACAGATGTATTAGTCACATAATCTGACCAGTGGATGTTTAGGATTGTAAATTAGTCTTCAGAAAAAGAAGCATAATTACTCTAATTGTCCCATTGAATGTATTTCAGTCCTGGTTGCTGTTTCTGCAATAACTAAATATGGCCTTCAGCGTGCAGCAATACAAAGACAAGTGTGTTCCTTGCTTTCCAGCAGCAGAAACAGAAGTAATTTTTATAATTTGAACTGATTTAGTTACCATGTATAGAGGGGAAAAAAATAATGTTGGACTTTTTCATACTACATGGCTGAAGAGGCTTAACAATACCTTTAGGAAGCAGCACATACTGGGAAGAACTCATCATACTCACTAACAAAGTATCTCTGATATGTCACTTAGATATTTTTGTGTAACATACAAAAAGCCTTGAACATAATACTTCGATGTCCACTTATGTCCGAGCAATTTGTGTAGATCATGGATCTTGAGAGAGTCAAATAATAATGTTATCTTTTTCTATATCAGATGCTCTGGCCTACATGCCAGATGCTAAGGGTTCAAAGCCTCTTTGCACCTCTTTGCTAATGCCCAATGATTTTTGGATTTAACCACCAGTGGGGATGGCAGTGCTCATAAAAAGATACAGGCAGAGCCATTAAAAGGGAACAGCTATGTGCTAAAAGTTCCTCACAACTCACATCAGAAGATGTTTCAGGGATATCAGGAAATGTCTGGTAACATCTTTTCTTGCCAAACCTACGTGCTGTTACTCAGTGGATTAAGGATCTTTCAGTGTTGCTGCCCAATAGCTTTGTTTGACTGCTACATAGCTGATGTTGTAAACACAGAAAAATCTCTTAATTTAAGTAATTTAAGAACTACCTTCTGGGTTGATCCAAGATGTTCTCAACACTTGTCAGAGAAAACATTTAGCTTGCAATGCCCTCTAGAGGCAGATTTGCCTTAGTAGTGGTGACCGCAGATATGCCCTTCACTTTTCTGGTCCAGTACTGGAGCTTTCAAGAAACAGAGTTTTTTAAAATTATTTTTTAATTTTATTTTTTGTTTGTTTGTTTTACTTTTTTTTTTCCAAATAAGCCACACTTCACATTTGTGTAGGAGCAGAGATC